TATATATATATATATATATATACTTGCCAATTAGAGCAATTTTGACTTCAAAAGATATTGATTGGGTTACTATCAAGAAAGGGAAATCTGAGGGTCTGAACTGCTAACATGGTTCCTTCTGCCACCTCTGGATCCTGAAGGTCCTCACACACACACACAAGCACACACACATGGATAGACAAGGATGGGGCTGAGGCGAATATGTCTCTTCCTAAACAACGTGTCTTGGGCAAATACAGGGCCCTTTCCACCACGCCACGCTGTTGTCTGCTTGACCTGCTCAGAGAAACTCGGCACCATTACTTCCGAGACAAAGTGCCTTCTACAAGCCCAGGTGTTAGGTAAGAAGGCTGAAGGGCACGTGCTCCGTGCTGATTTAACGCGTTAGTGTAGTTTCTTACTTCTCTTGGTAGATGTCCAGACTATACAGGATACTTACAAAAAGTAAGAGCTCTGTTACATAGATATTTCTTAACAGAGGGACACCTGTGCTGTCAAGGGCGGGCAAGCCCCAGAGAGCTGACACAGTCTGCTCTGGAGCTGGAGCAGAGACTCCTGCAGCCGGCAGGTGGCAGTGTGATGCGCGCGTCCTCAGTGATTCAAGGACATTGAGTGAAAAACAATATACAGCATAGGTTTGACTGAAACTGGAATAAAGCATCAAAAAGACTTAAATAAAAAAAAAAGAATCAAAGAACCCCAATCTGGAAGCCAGAAAGCTGGAGCTCTGGTCTTGACTTTGACCCTCACTAATCAGGGCGACCTCAGGCAGGCTCTTCTCCTGGCCTTAGCTTCTTTGTGCACAGGGTGGGGCCAGAAATGGCCCTTTTAGCTCTCGGAAACAGAAAAGAAGCAGCTGGTGGCTGGAGAGGGAGTGTCTGCAGAGTGCCTCAGCCCGCATAGCTGGTGACAGGTAACACTCGTGGATGTTTCTGATGTGCACAGCACATAAATGCTGCTTTGGCATCGAGTTTGGACAGATGGTACTTTTCTGCCGTCCACGATACCTACCAAGGGCACCTGGACCTCCGACCAGGTGATGTTGGGCACGGAGGAGATGGGCTGCAGCAGCGTCATGGGGAAGAAGAGGTTGTAGTGGCCCGTGGCCGCCAGGTACAGGGTCACGGCGATGTTGAAGGGCAGCGTGAAGACTGGGAGGTCCCACTTGCTGAAGATGGTGCCCAGGGCACTGGAGAGGATGGGGCTGATGGAGAAGCACGGGAGATACTGTTTGAGAAGTGCCCCCAGCCCTGATGCTAGGCTGAGCAGACTGGGGGGCTCCTGGAGCCTTCCCAGGGAAAAGCCACCTGCTGGCATCCTCTCCCAGCCTGACTGCCCTGAGCAGCCATTCCCCGGGTCTCCTCCCTTTGCCCCACAAGGCACCTGGGCTGGTGTCCAGACTCAACCTCAGAAGGAGGGCTTTCTGGGGGCAGTCCTGAGGCAGGGAGCCACAGAACTCCCCTGAAGGGTCGTGGAGCGCACCTCCTCGGGCAAGAGGAGAGGAGACAGGTCGGGGGAGTGACTGATGGGGAGGAAATCACATTCATTCATTCAACAAACGTTTGTTGAGACGCGAAGCGCTCTCCTGGCCGGGTGCCCTGCGACCCGCAGGTGAGGGGTAGCTGGGGTCTGGCACACCGAGGCCTCTCTTCGGGGCTGGGCCTTCAGCTGACACTGGGAGGTTGTCTAGGTCTGGTCAGGGGGCCCCAGGACAGGGAAACACAATGCGGGGGGTGGGGCAGGGTGGGGGCGGCAGGGAAGCAGGAAGAATGAGATTTCCTGAAATGGACAGGCCCCTGTGCTGTGGCTGTCAGCCTCTGCGGGGCTCCCTCCTTGCCCTGGGCTCTGGCACAGGGCAGAGAGTGAAGGGCGGCAGGCAGTGAGACACAGGTCACCTAGCATGTGCCATCGCTGAATAGTGTGAGCCATTCTTTCCAGCTGCTGTTTCTGCCGTGCAAACTACGGAGATGCCGCTTTAAAATTGGCATGATCATGGTCATGGAGTTGGGGGCAAAATGTTGGCAGCCCTTGCACTGCTCTGACAGCCTCAGAAGCACACTTACCAAGTCATGGACATAAGGATGACGGGGAGCAGAAGCCACCAGTAATAGTCGCCTTTGTCCGAGAACACGGCCATCAGCAGCCCCACCAGGACCCCGTTGTAGCCGTGAAGTCCGGCTGCGATGGCGGATCTGGGGGGGTTGGGGGGGAGGCTGGTGAGGGGAGGGCTCCCCGCGGCCTAACGGAGGGGGCACTTCCTCCCTGGTTTTCCTTCTGAGTCAGATTTCTCTCGGCTGGGACCTGACTACACACCTTCCAGCCTAGCCCCGCCCGGGCAAAGGGAGGGGAGACAGTGACCCCTCACATTCTCTGAGACTAGTTGTTAAACATAAGCAGGGAATGGTTGTTTTGAGTCATGAATGACCTTATTTCGAGGGGTTTCAGAGCAGGGAGCCAAGCAGCGAGGGGATGGGTGGTTGGCAAGTGGTCCCTTCAGGGAGGACCTCTGGCCTGGCACCCAGACCCTGGGTTTCCTGGGGCTCACCTGTCCTGACTCAGGATGAGGGCTGCCAGGGTGGACATCACGGTGCCCAGGCAGCCCGCGATGGCCCACCAAGGGTTCTGGATGAAGAGGCCGAGGACGATGAGGACGCCGCTGAGGGGGTTGTTCACGAACATCACCTGGGACGTGCCCCGGAGGACCCAGTCGAGGAACTGGAACACTGGGGATTTGTCTGAAACGGACCCGGGCCGGGCGTCAGTTAAGGCTCCGGTGTGTGAGCTCCCAGAGGCCCCAGCGGGGTGATGGGGGGCCAGGGAAGCCGGGCATCCAACTTGGGTTCAGCCCCCTGCTGTCATCTGCCGCAGAGGAGGGTAACCAAGAACCCGGGAGGACCCATTGCGAGCTGGTTGTGGTCTTTAGGTTGTCTGCGACGCACTGGGGACCTGGCGCTGCCTGTGCCCCTGTGCGGGTGGTGTTAATTTTCAAGAAGACAGATGCAGAAAGAAAACTCTCTGTGCACAGTGGGCGTCAAACCCATGGCCTGAGCTTGGAGGTTGCTAACAGGAGTCTATTGGAAGAGCAGACGCAGCGCTCTATGAGCCATTTTCTAGGGTGGGCATTTATCTAGAATGCTGACTCTAGAATCCCAGACCTAAAATGCAACACTCTGAGGGGCTGTTTGAGAGAGCACAACTGTCATGCTCAGAAACAGAGCTCGAACACCTACATGTATCAGCATTTACATCCCAAGAGACTTATGTCTGTCATGAGAGAGAAACTCCTATCTTATTCGCAAGACCATAGAACCAGGACTCGGTCAAGTCTGCAGAGAACAGTGCAGGGTGTTTCCTGGGGGACGACCAGAGGGGATCTTTTTAGGGGTAGGGGCAGGGGCTGCTCTCACCCTTTACCTTTAAGTCCCTCTCCGCACTCCTTCATCTCTCCCGTTATGTACCCGAGGGCTTTGCGGATCCTCTTCCCACTGGCAGCCAGGGAACTCTGAATCCAGGAAGTCTTGGAGATGCCTGTTTCCACCTTTATCTCTGAGCTCTCCTCCATGGTGTCCATATCCTGTCCAGGGGCAAGAGATGGGCAAGGAGGTCCCACACTCTGAGCTGCTCACATTAAAGAATGAGGTTGTGCTGACTCAGGACAAGTCAGGATTTTCATTTGGTATTGAGTGACGTTACTATTTAACCATCTCTGTTCCTATAGATGAAAGTAATTTTGTTTGCCATGTCACCTCATTTAACACGGGCAACAACCTTGTACAGGGGGCCGTCAGTATCACCCGTGGATTCCACCAACTGTGGGGTTAACAATATTCAGAAAAGAAATTTCCAGCAGGTTCCAAAAAGCAAAACTTGAATTTGCCGCACACTGGCAAGTTTTTACGTAGCATTTACGTTGTATTTACAACTATTTACACAGCATTTACATTGTATTAGGTACTGTAAGTGATCCAGAGATGACAATGTATACCAGAGGATGTGCAAAGGTTATATGCAAATACTGCACCATTTTATGTAACGGACTTGAGCATCCAAAGATTTTGGTACCCATGGGGGTCCTGGAACCAATTCCCCATGACTGTAGTGTAACAACACAGTATCGTTATCTTCATTCTGTGGATTTGTTCTCAGGCATGGATGGAGAGGTCAAGGTCAAGGTCAAATGACAGAATTTAGACTTAACCATAGACCTTAAGATTCTTTAAAAAAAATTACTTCTACTATACCACTCTTTCTTTTTTTTATACCACACTCTTTCCAGGAGAAAATATACCCCCTAACCCAGCATGTCTAGTCTTTAAAATTTAACTGTCCATAACATTAAATACACAAAGATTCTGTTTTGAAAATTGGCAAAATGGGCACCAGCTTGTTTCCTAAGTACTTGAATGCTGGATTCAGAAGAAGATGGATACGAAATAATTCAAACAAAAGAAATACGAAACTTTTAAAAGTAAACTGAAAAACAGACATCTCTATCCCACATAATTATGCTTCTGGAAATACCAGCCCAAGAATTAAGTTTGTCTAAATCAGAGGATGTTTTTCCGGGACCTCCGCTCGCTCCTCCGGCGAGGGCTCTGTGATGTGGGCACTGCCTGTGATTCAAGCCACTCCTCACTCACCAGCAACTCAACTGTGGGTTTCCGGTATTGAGATAGAGACGAGTCTTTGGTGTGTCTCTCCTGGTGTTCGCCTTTCCCAAACACTGGAGTTGGAAGGAAAGAACATCATTTTGTTAGGACCTCTGCCCTGGCACCTTAGAAGCAAACTTCCCACGGTGCTGGAGTTGGAATTCAGTACTTCCCACCCCACCTGAGGATGCCCCAGCCCTCGCGCCTGCAGCAGGAAGGCTCCCACCTCTGCTCCCGTACACATCCATTTGGGCTTACTCTTTGGGGGAAAAAAATGCACATCCTCATGTAAACAGGATATTTTATAGGAATTTAGGAAGTTCAGAGATTTGACTGATTTTTAGTTAAGAGGCTCTGATTTTGCTCAACCCCTGTGTTTTTTAGATGAGGAAACACTGAGCTGCCGTGAGCCCTGCACCCAGGGTTCTTTCTCCCACATGACACGGACAGTTGGTAGGTGTTATTGCTCGTAAAGCATGAAACTGCCTGAAACGTGCAATGTCTGTGTTTGAATTCCACTAGGACTCTTCGCAGCTGGATGACAGCTGCTTCAGTCTTTTTAAGATGTATGTTTCGGCATTTTAGATATTTAAGACAAGTGATATCCATGTTACCTGAAAAAAATTTTAGTATGTCCTTGTACTATAAGGTGATTCTTATTAAGCAGTGACTCTGAACATATTTTTCACTATTACGAGAATTTATTTTTAAAGATGACCAATTTCAGCAGGGTTTTACGCGTCATGAAAGCAAGCCCTCGGAAGTGTCGGTGTTGATGCTCTGGTTCCCTCTCGTGGTCAAGTGAGAGAATGGCAGGCTGGGCTCTGAACGCTCACTGTCTTCAGACAATTGGCCTTTCCGTCTGCTTTCATGAGATTTCAGCGCCCCTAAACACCAGAAGAGATGCATCGAAGGCGCTGTGCTCCCACTGTGGAAGGAGCAGGGACTGCAAGTGCCAGCGTGGTTGGTAGGTGACAGTATGCAGGGGAAACAAATTAAGGAAGCTTTGAAATAAAGAGCAGGAAGCAAAGAGGATTCCCCTGCACTCGGAGGCCAGTGTGTGTGATACCCCGACAGACCCGCTGCTTCTGCCTCAAGTGCCTGCTCCTAAAGCGGCCCTTGACATATCTCAGTGCCCTCTCCACGTGGCTCTCCGCGCCGCCCTGTGACGAAGGTGCCGCCAACGTCCCCATTTTAGAGGTGAGCAGATCGAGGACCCCGAGCCAGGGGGAGGAAGCGCACACCTTTGCTCCTCCTCCGAATGGAAGACCACTCGATGTGGAACACGTTCCTGGGCTTGGGGAGCACGGCCTCCGAGCCCTCATCGGCCTTTGGGCTCGTCGTGGGTGGCTGCCCCCCAGCGTCGCCTAGCCAGGGGCAAAACGAGACAGGTCAGTGTCCCACCCTGGTCCACCCCACCCCGAGAGGCAAGCAAGGAGCGAGGGGAAACCGCGCGCAGAGCGGAAGGGGCAGCGCGGTCCGAGCGGCAGTAGCGAGGGCCTCAGTCTGCGGAGAGCGCCCCTCCTCCCCTC